TTTATGTCTACTTTGTTTTTCTGAGGAAAAAGTTTAGAAAATGCTTAACCAGAAACTCCTTTCGCGAGCTTGCATGTGGTACGACTTCGAGCAAGGCGAATCAACTGCTGAAACTCATCATCTGAGGTGTTTGGCGAACTAGCCCTGTCAGAAAGCCAGTGTCGACGATGATTCTAGCGTTTCAAAAAAGGTATGAAAGGTTAGAGGACGAAGAACATGGAAGTCGGCCTCAAGTCGTCGATAACCAAGTGTCAAAGTCTGTCATCGAATTGGATCCTCGCCAAACCACCCGAGAACTGGCGACGCATTTTGGCTGCTCAAACTCTACCATCCATGGAAATGTGCTGGCAATTGGCAAGATGAACATGTGAGGAGAATGGGCATCGCACCGTCGCGTGGCGAGGCGAAAATCATTTTGGAAAAAATTGAGGAATAGGGGCTGGGAATTCCCACCTCATCCGCCATACTGCTCAGAACTGGCACCATCCGATTACCATCTGTTCCGGTCGATGCAGCACTATCTGGCCGAGAAAAAGGTCAAAAACCGCGAAGAAGTCCAACTCTGGGTGTCCAACTAATTTGAGTCGCAGCCGGCCGAGTTCTTCTGCAGAAGAATCCATTCCTTGCGTAAACGTTGGCAACAATTCACTGATAATGATGGAGATTATCTTTTGAAATGATCTTGTTCAGTTTCGTTCTCACATTAAAAAATTTTTTTAGGCTTGAACGCGCAATTCCTTCCGAACAATCTAATACATAGATTAGCAGAGGGCAGCATACTAGAATGCTGAAAAAATTGTTAAGGTAGCTAAAAGAAGGGTGGCCAAATTATTAAGTGGGTGAGGCGTGCAAAGCACTCCTGTTTTTCTGAATCATGACAGGCAATAGCTGTAGCAATAGCATAGCTGACATAACGGCCAGAACTTTCCTACAACCTATAGTAGGAGATGATAAAGGGNTTCCTTCCGAACAATCTAATACATAGATTAGCAGAGGGCAGCATACTAGAATGCTGAAAAAATTGTTAAGGTAGCTAAAAGAAGGATGGCCAAATTACTTAAGTGGGTGAGGCGTGCAAAGCACTCCTGATTTTCTTAATCATGACAGACAATAGCTGTAGCAATAGCATAGCTGACATAACGGCCAGAACTTTCCTACAACCTATAGTAGGAGATGATAAAGGGTTGTTTTTTGACATATTACCCAAGGATAATGAACCTTTCTACATTTCAACAGTAGGGAAAACAGCAGTAAGCAAACTAACACTGACACGGGGTTGCTGTCCTGGCAAAGGAGGCTGCCTACTGGAGCTGCTTTCCTCATAGGTCGGGGGAGAAAGAACTGATTCCGCAGCTTTAGCTGCCGCCATGTCTGCAAGAAATTACAACATAAAACCTAAATAAATTTATGAATTAGAGATACATAAGTAATGTAATCAAGGAAAAAGTAGGCTTTTTCAAAACTGCGACCACCAAGATAC